TAATGTTTCGAGTTGGACACAACATGATGCAAAGTTGAGATTAGCTGAATTGAAATTGCTTCTATGTTTTTCTTTGAATTGAGCTTGAGATTTGCTCGAGTGTGATGGTTTTTTGTTTAGAGGAAAAGAGCTTGTTTGATTGGGTTGTGTACTTGTTAATAGCACTGCGTAGCAAAATGAAGGCAAAGGCATTGAATGAACGTTTCCAAGTACGCGGAATGCGCAACGGGAAGAACGTTTTCTGTGGTATGGACATGTCGTAAGCAACCTAAAGAGCTCAACAATTGCCTCCATGAATTGTAAGTTCCACTTCTTAATGCTTGTTTGATTAAATATGTCATCTTTGTTTGTTGAGATTAATTTACTAGCTTTAACAGTCGGATTTTGCATCTTTTCTTAATACGCTTCGCTTGTATGATGTACCACTGCTCTTGTATCTGTAAGAAGATATGAACTAATGAAAGGAGATGATTCTAAGTTACTGCCATAACTATATTCATGTATGGTATTAGAAAGAGAAACTATCTACTCTTATGGTTTTTTGAAATCATGACCTTTAAGAGATGGTTGATTCAATGACTGTTTTGGAGGAAATGAAGCGAGAGTACATGCTTCAAGAAGAGGGAAAAGTCTCGGCATCGGCCATATAAGCTTTGTTTGAAGAAAGATTGTAGTCGACAACTCGTCATGTTGTTTCTTGTTCTTTATAAACGTCGACAATATAAACTTTAGCCTTTCTTCAACAAGTGTTTATTCACTAAAAGAAAAGTAATAGATTTTGTATTTCCATTTTTTCTCAGTTTGCAGAAAACCCACTAAATCTAGAGATCAGTTTCAAAGATGTTTCGCATAACCAAAATCATAGGTTTCACACAACTATCTAGCAGGATAAAACAAAAACTTGAGATGCTTAGGTCAAAGAAAGCAAGCAAAAATCAAAGAGCTTCAAGCAGTAGGCTTCCTCATATATCTATTTTTGTATCTTAAGCAGAACAGAGCATATCCGCAAGCAGTGCTTTATTCACTACGTATACGTAACACATAAGTTAGTGGCTCCAATAAAGCTTTATTATCCACCTCATCTATCATCTGCTTGATCTTCACGTAAGCAGGCCAATTCTTGGCAGACCTGTCCACATAGGTGAAGTTAGGCTCTAACTCAGAGACCTTTCTTCTTTGCAATAAGCTCCACGTAAAGCGTAAGCTGGGAGGGAGAAAATGTCATTTTCTTCCTCTCCATCAACTCAAACATCTGCAGAGAAACACGCATCGATTGAAACGGAAATCACAGACAGGACAACGAAAAAGAAAGACTTTTTGATAAAGAGAAAGAAAAATGAATTCAACCTCGTAGGCGCTCCTTGTAAAGACGCTCCCCACAGGAGGCAAGATCCGCCTGAGTGATGGAAACACCCTTCTTCTCTTCTTCCTTGATGATGCGATCTNAGGTCTCACCCGCCCTGACCAACACCCTCAGAAGAGGCCTCTTCAACAAAAGAGAGGTCTCGGAACGAGCAAGCGCAGACCTAAGAGGACCGGCAACCATCATCATGCGGCGGATGCTCATCTTTGCGGCCCATTAGTCATTAGCTTCCCGAGCCACTGGACTTTATATTTTTCTCAACTTTCCACTTATAAAGCTTATCCACTAATACAAATATTTTAATGGCTTTGATAGATAAAAAAAAAAAAGGGGAGTGTGGACGGATGTTTAAAATAAACGGATATGATTAAAAACAAAAGTTTTTATGTTTGTTTATTAACTGCTCAAAAATGTGTGAAATTTGCAACCGTCTATAGTTTATCAAATAGGTGTTTGGATTTTCTTTTAAATAAAAATATTTTCTTTTTCATTTCTAAAAATATAGATATATTACCTTAATATTAAATATCTAACAATCAACTAAAATTTTCAAATTGTTATTTATATTTTAAATAATATTCTGATATATTTTATTAAAAACTATTTACTATTTTTTTATTCGTTCTTTTCAATTTAATCCGTCATTTCCTCAACAATTTTTTTTTATAATCATTTCAAAACTTTTTAACTCCTCCAATCAAACGTGATAACCCATAAGAGCAAGCCAACTTGAGTTTTACCGACACAAGCCAATAACCATTAATTTATATTTTTTTACCTACCCTTTATCCTTTTTTTTTTCATTGAAAATATATTATATTAAACAAGGTAAAATTCGAGTTTGGAAAACAAAGATAAGATACGATTTTGAGATACGAGAATGAAATACAAAGCTGATGTAAAAAAAAACGACATCGAAGACAAACACTATAACTGAAAACCAACAGAAATCTATGGAACACAAACTAAACCCCGAACCACGAAGATCCAATCAAATCACACCTCAAAAGAGTCAGACGCTAACCTTCCACATAATGACCGAACCAAGGAACCCTTGCATGCATTAACATGAACCATCACGGCTAGGATAAAGGAGACGAGGAAATTGCAAACGCACACAGGCCAACACACCAAAGCCTGAGACCAAAGCAAAGCCAAGAGAGTGTGATGATAACCAAGACAAAATGACATACGCTTTATCCTTTAATGTATTTTTTTTAATAGTATTTCACTTCTCTTTCTCGTTCCCTACCAAATTCACGATAATTGAGAATTTCAAATTACTTATCGAATACAAAATACTACCAAATGCTGCAAAAACGCCTTCACAGTTAATTTTTATCTTGTAGATAACATTCGTCGTTTTCTTGTAACTAGTACATATTTTTTTTCTTTTCTTTTAAAACCTAATCTTGTTCAACAAACAATGGCTTTGATTGGTAACCGCGGAATGGCGGAAAAACGCAATTCCGCAGGTTTTTTGCCAATCACGAAAAGTTGTGGAATGGCGGAAAAACGCAGAATCTGCATTTTGGCTGAAAAAATGCAAAGAAATCTTCATTAAGCAAATAAGTGAGGTTTTCTGCGTTTTTTTGCGGAATGTAAAAATTAATGACCCTTGTAATTAATTTCTTTATTTTTCAATGTTAAAACATCATCCAAACTCTCGAACATATATTACCAATATTTATTACAAGTTTACAACCTATAGTTTCCTTTGCATTAAGTTAAAAAACACTACTAGTATTTTCTACTATTACAATAATTGCAAAAATAAGGATGGTGCTTGTATTCAAAAATATTATGATAAGAGAATTACTTGTATTGAAAAATATTTTAATTTTACGATATAACAAATAATATTTAGCTATATATAGTGAACA